AACACGATTTACGGTTCTTAAATTTCAATTTGTCAAACGATACGTTTTTCAATAATTCTTATGTATACTTCAGATATCTAGGAAAACAAAAATGAAAATAAAACCACTGAATAATATTTAATTTTTGCATTGATTGGTGCAGTGATATGATACAAAGATTGTGACAGGTGACTTATCCTGGATTTAATCAATACGATCCAGAAACAAAGCGTCAGTCGACTATTTGACTTTTTCAAAATGGACGAACGCCTACGAAAGTGAAGCGATCGAGGAGCTCAGAGAAAATTTTGATCGCTAGTTTCTTAACATTGACGGGGTACCTAATTTCAATTCCACTTCGATACCAAAGCAGCATCAACGCCGAATGCACGAAGCACAAAATGCCTGCCAGAAGGTTTTTCTGCAATGAGCAACAAGCGACCTAACACCGGGCTCCTTCTTCACCACGACAACGCGCCCGCGCACTCTGCGATCAAAACGCTGGACTCCACACCAGACAGAGTCTTGGGACACCCTTCTTACAGTCCTAATTTGGCTCCGTGTGACTTCTTTTTATTCCCTAAAATAAAAAAATCAGCTCAAAGAAAGATACAGTTTTCATCGCCGGAAGAAGTGCTAGCAGCGTTTGAGAAGGCCGTGGAAGAGGTGTCTGCGGAGGACTGGAAAAAATGATTTGAAAATTGGTTCAGACGCATGAAACTTTGTATAGAAGCTGGTGGAGTTTTTTGAAAAAAAAAATATATTTTTTTCATAGAAGTTAGTTTTTTAGTTGCTCAAAACTTTCCGAGTGTCCCACGTATAGTATAAATACATATATTACAATAGAAAAATCCGTCCAAAAGTTTATTCATAACCATACAACATGAAATTTTCTTTTTTGATGAGCTTATATATTTTGAAGTTATGACTGGAAATTAAACTACTATAAGTTGAATATTTGCTATTGAATGGAACAATTTCAAGCCACTGTTGCCATAGGTTGTTGTTGGGAAACTGCAGAAATAATAAAATAGATTACCTACTATCAGTTATAAGTAAGCTAAGGTTAATGCATGATTATTTTTATTTAATCTTCTTTCGTGCACACTTTATTATAGGGATTTATACGATCCTTGCAGACAAAAGAAGTAGGAAAAAGTTTAGAAATAAGCTTCCTCGTTAGGGGTTTGCGGAGGGGGGAGGGGGGAAGGAGTGAGGAGCCCCCCTATTCAACCCCCGTCTGCCGGAAATTCGTAGTTTTTTCAGGAAATAAAAATTGTAAACATAACCTCAAAATAAAATATGCATAAAAAGCAAGAGAGAGATGACATGTTAGGTTAGGGCTTAGGGGAAAACGAGAGTGCACAAACACCACAAAAGCTTTTGTTTTGATTAAAAAAAATTTCAACTAAATTTAAGGTTCATACTTGCAATTTTTTTATAAAATCTAACCTATCAAGTGACTTACAGGACTAAGGCCAGTAAAACTGTACTTCCAGGGCCCAAGAGGTAATACTCGAACTTTATTTGGAGAAAAGGTCTCTTAATTTTTTTTTCTGGCGCTCCGCCGCGCCGGTCGCTGTCGCGGCACATAACCTAGTGGGCGCTGGAAGTACAGTTTAGCCGAAACAGATATCAGACCGCATCGTGCTGACATAAAACAGGTATCAAGAAAACAACATAATGAATCTTATTATTGAGGATCCTACACTGTCAACAAAACGCATTGGGATAATAGTGGGAGTTTCTCATATGAAAGTGTGGCATCTGTAGAAAAGATACTGATACTGATTGCATCCTTATCACTACAGAAGAGCGCAAGGTATCCTAGCACCTGATCATTTTTCAAGAGTTACATCTTGCCAAAGGTTGAATGATGAATTAATACGAAATACAGAAAATTTTGTGGATGGATAAAGCACAGTTTACAAGGGCCGGGGTATATAACTCAAAAAATCAAGTTCAATGGCTTGAAAACAACCGCAATGCTCATTGGGAAGCATCACACCAAACTGAGTTCTCTGTCAACATGTGGGCTGCTGTTTTTAATAATCAGTTGATTGGCCCTATCGAAATCCCGCACCGGCTAAATACAAATAATTATCTAGAGTTCCTGAGAAATATTACAAACTTAGATTTTTTTAAAGATGTTGATCTCGAAACTACGAACTATGTGGGTGCAACATGATGGTGCTCCTGCACATTACGGGGCACAAGTACGTCAGTATTTGAACTCGGCGTTTCCTGGACGTTGGATTGGACGGGGTAGTACAACCATAGCATGGCCAGCCAGGTCCCCCGATTTGACTCCACTAGACTTTTATGTCTGGGGAACATTAAAAGACAAGGTTTATTCTGGGCAAATCCAAAACCGTGAGCAACTGCTGGCAAGAATTGATAACGCGGCAGAAGAAATGCGGCAAACACTTGTCAATTTAAATGGCCAAATTATGACTCGTTTGGGTCTCTGCATTGAAAATGTAGGTGGTCAATTTGAAAACTATTTACATTAATGAGTTATTTCAATGTTTTACTTTTAATTTAACGTTGTAGATTAGAACCCTTTTTGTACACATAACGCAGTGATTATGTGATCTTTTTTGTCTTATCATGTCTTCCTTGTTTTCTCACGATGTTTCCTTCACCGCTAAGCACGTAACAATTCAAACATGAATCCGTACGTAAATTCTAAAGAATTCTACAATTCATAAGAACTTAGTAGTACGGGACCGGGATCGAATCTGCGACCTCACAGTCGCAAGCTGACCGTACTCCCAAATGGGCTATCACAGCTTCTCTCACATCATTTATCAGGTGATAATTTATTATCAAACTTTACCTACTACCTCTTTGTCAATGGTCATTAAGTCATAGTTTCAAAAGTCAAAATTTAAAAAAACATTGTTGACGTCAAAAAAGTTTCAAAAAGTTTATATGGACATGTGAATCAAAGTTTCAAATGCGACATTGCCAGCTCAGGTAAAGAGTAATTCATATTAGATAAATTACATCTAAGCATTTAGTTTCTATGAATATAAAAAAATGTTAAAGAAATTGGAATTCAAAAAAGTGTCTATAGTAAAACAATATCAATTTAATAGTCTGAATAACATGCCAAAGTTAGTGCATAGCCTCAGGAACACGGTGTATATATGTTATGGGCGAAGTGATTAATCAGACATTATTCATAATGCCTGGGCAATATGAATATGCCCAAATAAGTGCGGGCAATGTGATTATAACCAATCAATTTATCACATTGCAAGGGTATTATGATTAATGCCCTGTGCCTATTGGGCAGAGTGATGTAAAGCATGTTAAATACTTTCAAATGAATACTTGGATAGACCGAGCATTACGAGTAATGAAATCAATTATCGGGTAGAGTAATAATACAAACATGTTTTATAGTTTAGTATTTATTTTTAAAATTTAAATAATCAGACTTCGGTTTTACTTCGATCAATTTACGAAGGGCTACATTTAGAAACTATAGTCTATAGTAGTTTCAATGCAGTTTGTTTGAAAAATTCATTAAATCTGTTTAATGTTTAGAATTTATGGTTCCCTATTTTTTAGGATGCAAGGACTAGGGAACTAAGTACCAGTACTTCTGCCTTATCTCCGGCGCTGCGGGAATAGCAGCCCCTCTGCCTTTGCGTGACAAAGTCACAAGCATCACTCCCCTTCACACCTTCGGCTTGTTAGTCGCCACCTCCGGCGGCGACCAGCCTCACTACGGGCACTACGGGTCGCACGATGATTGCGGCTTTGTCACAGCAGGCGGGGGCTGTTCTCCCTCCGCGCCTCTGGGCTCTAAAAAACACTCTAGAGGTAGGGCAGACCAAAACCACTGCGTGTCGGGGTTGACCAAGTCAATTCTGAAATGAAGACTGTTGTAAAGCCACATTTACCTTTTTTTCTAAGTGTTGAGCCCATACATTTTTTATTTACTAAGATCTCAAAAGAAACACAAAATGGCGAGACATCTGTCATTTTGACAATAGTACCAACGTTTTAAATTTATCCATACTGCCCGGTCCAAGCGATAAATTCAAGCTATCTCAAACACTGACTTATTACATGGACCACGAGCCGTCCGGCATTATTAATAATGGCCGGGCAATGTGATAAATAGGTGAGTTTAGATTGTAATTAATCACTTGGCCCGATATGGCTGGGCATTATGACTACTGCCCGCATTAATCACTTGGCCCATAACATATACACTATATATAGACTATCTGTATCATACATTTAGGAACGACGGCATCGACACATCGTGATAGATCGTGACATACATGTATGGTTCTAACCGTACTAAATGTATGAAACCGATCGCGTCAGATCGCGTCACAATCACAACACAACACGTAAGATAAATATAAAACGATCGCAGATCGAAACCGCTTACTACTTGAGCCATCAAGATCCTCATATTCGAATTCCTATTGGATAATTAAGAGACTGTCAAATGTAGGCACATATTTTCAATAAAATTAAAATGCACTGTGACAAATGACAATAGTTACATATGAAATACATAATAAAAATAAGTATTTATTATAGTAATGGTGTCGATTCTGGCACGATTCTATAAATCTAAACTTAAATCTATAAAGAATGAAAAGAAGAGACTGATGTTTAAGTTTAGTTTTAAGTTTAGAGAATCACGCCAGAATCGACACCAGTGTGTTGCTTAGTAAATCTTTTATCTAGGTAATACATAATCACGGGTTGATGTCGAATTGAAAACTAATTCATTTTCATATTGATAACCCAAACAACAATACGAATTCTTGTCGATTCTCTAGACACACACAAACATGCTCATTGACAGCGACACACACAGAAAAATGGCCACGCTTTTTTTGTGAAATGCTACGTCCACTTGATACTAAGTCTATGGTACAGCCCATGTGCCAATTATTCTGTGACTGTCAATATCACTGTCAAGTTGTCAACCGCTGTCAGTCAGCTAGCCAGCCAATGTTGTTTTTATTTTGGTAAATTAGATTAGATAACAACAAATGAATTGAAGCCATAGTACTGAGCAAGACTATTTAATTCAATACTATGTGGTCAATTATTAGAGATCGGAGTAAAATATAAATATTTAGTCCTCATCACTTTTGTCATTCATTTGGAAAAAGTAAATAATAACACCCTAATGAAATTCAAGCGTGGATATTATGATATTTTCTTACAAACCTGTGCTAAAAATCCATCAAATATTGCTGTGAGACATTACAATAACGGCATTTATAGATACTATACATATTCGGAGTTATATGGTGTGTGCGAATATATATCGCAAAATCTGCAGATACTTAAATGTAACAAGGGTGTAATTGGATTAGTATCGGAAAGAAATATTATTGTACCTGCGGTTATTGCTGCGTAAGTTTCTTGAATTTGTCTATTATTTCTTAATATAACTACAAAGCCCTGACTGATGGTGTCTTCTTATTCTAATGTTTCAGTGCTCACAAATGCAGTACAACATTCATGTTTATAGATCCAACACAAGATGTCGAAAAAATTGCTAATGAAGTTCGTTTTAATACTGTAATAAACATCCAAGACAAAGGATCGCCTATTCCTGAGTTATTCAATAAGAAACCAGACAAGTCAGTGTCTGTATTTGATTTTGAAATTATTTTCTTTGATCTTCAATCCCATTTCAGTAGTAAACATGCGATCTTTGAACACTCCTTTATTGCGATGACGTCAGGAAGCACTGGAGAACCAAAACACATCCAAGTACCTATGAAATGCATTCAGCCCAATATTGATGATTTGACAAAACTTTTTAAAATCATCCCACAAGATGTAATATATTTTTCTACTCCTCTAACATTTGATCCTTCTATGGTTGAAATATTACTAGCTTGTATGAATGGAGCTTCACTTCTTATAGCCCCAGAAATGCCAGACATTTTATTTCCTAATGATAAAGAAAATTCTATAACATTTTGGCAGACAACACCTTCCAAATTCTTTCAACTTCCACATGCTGATATTAAGAACAGAATATTGAGTTCTGATTCCCCATTGAAGATTTTGGCTTTAGGTGGTGAACCACTAAATGGGGTAAGAAGATTGATTGAACTTAGGGATGGGAATAATAAAACAAGAATCTTTACTCTTTATGGAGTAACTGAAATGTCATGTTGGGCATGCATTGCTGAAATAGATTTCAGTAAGATTCTTATAGATAAAGAAGTGCCCTTGGGTAACTGTCTCTCAGAGACCCAGATACACATTGAGCCAGAAAATAGTCAAAATAAGGATACAGGAAAAATAATTTTAGGTGAGTAACTCTTGATATTAAAGGACATTAGAATATTATATTGCATTTTAATTACATACCTACCATTTTTCATTTATTTCAGTTAGCAAATCCAGAAAATGTATTATATTAAATAAGTCAAAAAGCAATGAAGAAGAGAACTCACTCAAATTTGTTGACACTGGTGACATAGGAGAAATAAAGAATGGAACAATTTACTACAGAGGTCGTAGGGATGATGTAGTCAAAAGATTTGGTCATAAAATTAATTTACAGTCTATAGAATCTATAGCCATGCAATGTCCCAAAGTAAAAACTTGTTCATGTGTATGGTTACCAAAACCCTTGCTTCTTGTAGTATACTTTTCCTCTGAATCACTAACTAGCTGTGAATTATCTGATTTTCTAAAATGCAAACTTGATGATAAACATTGGCCTGATAAAATCGTGAGGGTGGAGAATTTGCCAATGAATCTGCATGGTAAAATCTCCAAATCCAACCTATTGAAAATGAATAAAAAAGTTAGCTATGTAACAACATCATTAGATTCTCTGAAAGTACTTTTCCAGAAAGAACTTTGCTTAATACTAAACGCACAATTCACATATGATGAAATAAAGTATAAAGATTTCTTCTCAATTGGTGGAACCTCGTTTCTTGCTGTATCCCTGTGCAATAAAATATCACACAAGTGTTCAGAATTTGGAAAGTTTATTTTACCTTATCTAATGTCACAAAGATATACAATTGATGAAATAATGCAATTGGCTCAAAAACAGTTAAGTTCAGAAGAGATCAAAGGGAAAGGCAAAGTGAAGAGATCTAGATCTAATTTAGGCAGCAGTTCAGAAACCCAAATTATGAAAAAGGCAAATAATAATATTTGTACAAGTCCAGTAGAATTCACTGTCTTATGGTCATATGATACAGGAAAATGTGTGGATGCTTCACCAACGTTATTCCAAATTAGATTGTAAGTTACTTTGTTATCACTACTTGGCCTTAAGTTGTTATTTTAACTCTTTTTAACATATACTAGACTCGGGGCCAAATTTAGAGGTGTGGAGGCCCTGAGCAAGGGATGAGTGGAGGCCCATTAAGAGGGCAGCAATAAAATGTAGCACTCTACTTACAATTTGCACCCAACGAAAAAGTTTATTTCCGTGATCTATCGAAATTTGGTGATTTTTAACTCTGGTGTGGAGGCTCCTGGGCCACAGCCCCACCTGCCATGCCTTAAATCTGGCCCTGACTAGACTGCATGTAACAACTATTTTATTTTATTACATATTTGACCCTATGAAGATAAAGCTTCAAATAATCTTTTTTTTTTATAGATAGGTCCGACAAATGACTCCACCCCACCTGATGTTAAGTGGAGGTGAAGTCCAGACGCGAAGATAGCTGATACAGCAGTTCTACCTGCTACACCAGCCATCTTCCCATGGACCAAAGATATATAATTATTATTACTGTCATCAGACAGGCAGTTAAAACAACTGATAAATGATTGCATCCTGCTATCTTATAAAACTCTACACACAGTTGATCTATTAATGTACATTGAGTCTGTAATCTGATTGACGATGTAATAAGTTTCCGTGCTAAATTTCATTTAAATTCAGCAGAGCATCAAACAAAGTTGTAATCGATTTTACTAAATCTATGGATCAGATGCATCATGAAATATAGTGTTTTTCCATGTTTTTAAGTTCGTCTTCAAAAGTTTAGGGTAGCACACACACGGTGTGATCGATTCCCAATCAATACCGTCACTGCTGGTAAATAGGGCTCACCCCAGAGTTTTAGTAGATAGGCCCGCGGGAGAGTCCCACATAACTGCGTCGCCTTACCAAGCGGCAGGGTATGTAGGCATCAAGCATTTCTCTGGGTTAAAACAAAAGGGTAGCACACACACACCATTTCACAGCACCATATGATCTTTTGTTTAGAAGCCGTAAGGGGTCGTAAGACCGACAGAACTCGTGTCCCCTTATCGTTGATAATCCTCTACTAGCTGGCTGACACATTCCAGTTTTCTTTCGCTCCCAGTCCATAGACCCTTTTTCTCCGTCGGCGATCCCTTTGTATTTATAGTTGAGCAGGATTGGTTCTGTCTCATTGACACTTCTTAGCTTTATTGAGGTTCGCGGAAAGAGTTAATGTAAGGATAAGGATTAAAATGGGGTAACATTTTAAGAAATTGTACTCCCAGTCCAATATAATTTTGCCTCCCAGTGTGATTATGAATGATTTTCTGATTTCATTATAGAGGTTGTAATTATGCATGAGATTGCTCTTAACTTCATTAAATATCTTTCAGCAATCTATATGTAATAGTAGGCAGTCACTCTGGCAAGATTGTAATTGCAGATGCAATGTCAGGCGAATTGCAAGGCATCATAAGGATTAAAGCACGCGTGGAGGCGTCTGTGGTATGTTACTGTGATGAGTCAGTGACGCCAGCTTGCGGCATGGTTGGAGCGTACGACGGAACTATCGTCTGCTTCGCAATAGATACATGCAAAGAGATATGGAGAATCAACATCAATTCCATGATAAAGAGTAAAGGGGTGTGCTGTAATGGTTTGCTGTATATAGCATCGTATGATGGAAAAATCAGATGTATCGACGTATTAGTAAGTTTAGTGTGTATTTTTATATCTTTATAGATAAAATGTCAAACAAGACATCCTTAGAGTAAAAAATTACCGACTTTGTAAAGGCAGTTAGCACTTTCAAGGCTATTCAGTAAATAGAAGTCCGTTTTAAACGTTTTGAGAGTGAATGTAAACAAAAACTACCTCTCAAATTAGTTGCCGTTGGTTTTAATGATCTGAGCTGTCCATGATCGTTCTTACTTACCTACATCTTTTATTAATTACTTTCGCTCTAAAAAAGTTAAGCGGCTATAGGTGCTTGTACACATTACCTACTCGTCCTGTAGTACCTACTATATAATAGGTACTTTAATCTAGATGCCTGCCCAAGCCCAAGTAGTATAAAACTTTGTAATATAGGTATATCTACATTTTATTTTCAGACAGGAATAATCAAAGATGTCATTGATGTCGCTGACCAAGCTATATCGGCTGACCTGGTACTGGCTAAGAAGGAATATGTTCTCCTCGGCACTCTATCCGGTGTATGTGCCAGTATCCATATAATTGATAATGCTGTCGCGTGGCGCGGCGCCCTGAGCAGCCCAGTATTTGCTAGCCCCGTGATTTACGACAATGAAAAATACGTCGTTTTCGCCGAAGTGAATGGCGAGATTCATTGTAGAACAGTCGAGAAAGGCATCAAGGTGAGATCTATGAAGCAATATTTTAGTAAAGAAAAAAGTTTATTGTAGGTTATTGAAAAGCAAAACAAACTGTCGTATTTTATTGCTATGTTAGCATTTGATGGCTCAGTTATTTTTCTATGGCAAATGATATTACGATTGACTAGATAAGAATTGAAAGTTTCGATATGTGGGGTGGTGCTGCTGGACTGACGATGACGTTGAACTTTTTGAATATACGGTGATAATTCGATGTCCAAAGTTGATACTTAATGAATATATAAAATATTTTAGTTTAGATGTTACCTATATATATCAAGATGCAGTAGGCTGGTGTCGGCTCCCTGGTGCAAAATTAAGCCACTTCGTACACAATGATACGTAAATCTTTGATACCTACCGACTAACTCACCTTGATGAACTTCGTTATTTTGTACCTGCAGAATAAAGGCAGTATACTAAATATGCTAAAAAAATATAAAAAATTAAGAATTTTCTTACTAAAAAAAAATCGCGCGGTACAGTCATCAGACATGGTGCTAATAAAATTGCCACGATGATCAGAGGTTATGACGTGACGCGGTTTAGCTGACATAGGGTAAGAGCGGACGCGAGCTGAGACTTTTGAGAAATAGGTATTTAAAAAAAACTATTGCTTTCAAGCATTGCCAAATACCGTGCGATAAGGACAAAAGTAGTTGTCGCTGAAAATTGGAAAATTCGAGTTTGGGCTCTCTACGATTTCCTCCTCGAAAATTAAACATATGTAAAAGAAAATTTACCCATAGAATAATAAGTAGTTATACTCTATGGTTTGCTTTCTTTGTAAATGCGTATTCAATCTCCACACTACACGTCTTTAGTGGTGTCTAACGACCAGATACCACTAAAGACGTGTAGTGTGGAGTCGTCGTTTGCTAAGGTCGTAGAAGTCGGTGGAACGAAACTTGGCAGTCCTAGCCGTCCTGTCTCGTAGTCCATTGTCATCTTTTTTCCTGTCAGTACTTACATAATGTCCGTCTGTCATCTGTGGGCCACATTCGCACCCCTAGTATCAAAAAGCTGATACTCAAGGTTGGGAGCCGACATCCAGTCTTCACAGTTTCGTCGCCGGTCGCGTGTAAAGTCCCTGCCTCGTCGCAACGTCTGCTACTCGTACCTGGTGGTCCGTTTCAGGATACACTTTCGCGACCCGACCCCGGGGCCATTGACCCCTCGGAAGTTGGTCGTCCGCAATTATCACTATGTCACCTACGGTGAGCCGCCTGTCAGGTACCTGTAGCCACTTATCTCGCCTCGTCAGAGAGGGCAGATATTCGCGGACCGCTCGCTTCCACATCAGGTCCGCCAGCCTCTGGAACTCCCGCCAGGAACGACGCAGTAAGTCCCCGTCAGAGAACGTACCTGACGGGCTGCCAATCGCCGAAGTGTCTGTAAAGAGAAAATCTCAATTGCAGAGAGAGCAGTCGTCCAGGTCTTTTTAACAGCCGTTGAGGATCCAGTAACGCTTTCTTAGTTCGTTGAGAACTTTTTCTCTACCAGTGTGTGCACAGTCGACGTGGTAGCGAAGCATTAGTAGCATGACGAATGGTTCGGTTGAGTGTAATATGATTGGGCGCTTAGTATTGTAGTCGAAATTTGCCGCCTCAATCCTCCCCCAACTCGGAGCAAGTCGTGCGCGTCTAGGAAGGGGTTGAGTTGACACAGTGAGCTTGATTTGTCTACATGTCCATGTCTTTTTATGCTGTTAATGTCGGTAGAAAACCTCTGTCTATGACTTTGTTTGATGAGTGCTTCTTCTGCGTTCGCCACTTCTAGCGCAGTCAGTTCGCTTCGAAGCCAGTCCGGATTTTTGTTCTTGAAATTGTGAACCCCACGAAAGAATCAAGCTGTGCTCCGTACTAGTCGCCAATACTGAGAGAACCGTTTTATATCCGGTAACTCAGGTGCCCGGTCGTAAGTAGTAAGCAGACAGCCTTGATCTCATCGTCGCCGATGTAAGTTTCGATAGCGTCGACGTTGTAAATATCTGTAAGCCATTCGCAGTCGGGTTTAAACAAGAAGGCTGGCCCCTTTAGCCACCTGTCACTATCTCAGCAGCCATCGCGGTGTCTCGCGATGGCTGCTGAGAGATGAGAGAGAGATCATGGAGTCATCGGCAGAATTTAAATGAGTGGAGATCCACCTCCATTGCTTATAGTCTGCTAGCTCTGTTATTTCGGTAACGCGATGCGGGACAAATGGCTTAAATCTGCCTGAGTCCGACCACAGCCAGCTCAACACCGTTTTCGAGACAGTTCAGAGTGTTATCTTAGATAGGGCTGCTATCTCACAGTGCTGTAGGCTCACGAATAGACGTGCCCCTAACAGAGCCGTCTGGAGCTCAAGCCGCGGAATGCTCATCACTTTTAGAGGCGCTACTCTTGCTCTTGCCATCAGGAAAGCGACGTTGCCGATCCCGTCAGTCTTGCGCGATCTGAGGTATGCTACGCTGGCGAACGCTCTGGAGCTGGTGTCGCAGAAGATGTGCAGCTCAGCCACCCCATCGTAATCATCTGTCAAATTCCAACGTTGTACTTTAACGTCGTTTACGGACTTTAATTCGTTTAGCCATGTTTGCCACATAGAAAAATGGCAGCTTTCGATCTCAATATCCCATCCTACCTTGCTGCGCCAGATATTTTGGAAAAGGATGCGGGCTTTGACGGTTACATTGAGAAAAAACCGAGAGGGTCAAAAACTGACATAATTATCTTAAGTACCTCCCGTTTCGTCGGTCTCTTGACGCCATCTGATCGTACCTGATCGACCGGTATATTCGTTAAGTTTACAATGAAAATACTGACACCCTCTCCACGACCTCATCTTTGCTATCACTGATCACTTTGACTGCTGATGCGGAAAGTCTATCCTGAGGAATGTTGTTTAGGAGCTATTTTGAATTGGAAACAAAGTTTCTTATAAAAAACCCACCTCATGAATGTATCTCTATGACGTCCTGAACCAGCTGGTTCAGGTCGTCCTCGTTGTCCATCGAGTAAATACAATCATCGACGTAATGATGTTCAGTGATAACATGACAGGCGAGAGGATGAGACATCTCGTATCTCCGCGCGTTAGCGTACTTTACATACTGTGATGAGGAGGGAGAGCATATAGCACCAAAGGTTCATCACGTACTGGCCGTCGTCCCACAGCAGACGTTGGGCCTGTCTGTCTTCAGGCCTTATCATGACCCGGTGGAACATCTCATGAATGTCACCGGTGACAGCTACCTTGCCACTGCGAAATCCTAGGAGTACGGTTGGAAGCGAAGTCAGAAGATCTAGTCCGGTCAAGAGCAAATCGTTTAAAGACTTGGCTTCCGATTTCGCTGCGCAGTCCAGTACAAGGCGTAGCTTGGGCTTATTGGGGTTATATACTGCAAAGTGCGGCAACCACCAAGTCTTCATAGACCGTATGGCGGCGTTTTCGGGATCTTATTTCGAAACATAACCTTTTGTAATATTTTCATGGAATCTCTCTCTGTCTTTTATAGCAAAGTCGGGACACTTACGCATTCTCGCTCCGATACTGCGAAATCGCTTCCTCGCTTGCGGCAGGCTATCAGGAAGCTCCAGCGTCTCTGAATTCCATAGGAAACCTGTCTCGTACCTGTCTTCGGGAAGGAGTCGAGTCGTACGTTCCATAATTTGAAGCGCGAGTTGATCTTCCCGAGAGCGAGGAGTCTCGTACGTATCTTTTGTACCACTTTTCTGATCGTTGGAGTCGTCGTTTGCTAAGGTCGTAGAAGTCGGTGGAACGAAACTTGGCAATCCTCGCCGTCCTATCTCGTAGTCCATTGTCATCTTTTTTCCTGTCAGTACTGTCATAATTTCTGTCTGTCATCTGTGGGCTATTCAGTCAGTCCAAGGAGGCTGGACGCCCGTGACAAGTGGTGATAGAAAATTGACTATTTTTGTCCTTATTGAGGTCTTCTAGTTTCTTTCAAACACAAGTTATTGAAAAAAGACATGGGAGCATAGAATGAGTAAAATTTTATTTTACGTATGAAAATCAATTCTTAAGTGATAAAAATCAAGGAATCAGTCGAGAACGTTTGTATGGAAAAAACACTGCCCGCCTCCCCTCTAGACTATTTCTACCCCAGTCGATGCCGGCTAAACTTGTTCACGAGCATGTTACGCCACCACGCCATCTGTCAGGTCTGTCTAATAAAACTTACTTTACTAGTGTTTCTTTTCTTTTTTATTTAAAAATATCTAATAGTTTTAATGCAAAAATTAATTTAAACACAATTGGGATGATAACCGAGTAAATTAAACAAATTTCTTTTCAAGTTATAGTCAATCACTTTTAGTACGTATAAGTAAAAATTGTACCAAGATGTGACGTCATGCGACACGTTTTAGTTTTAAAACGCCAGCAAAGCAGCCCTAACTTTGTATCTCGCAAGCTTCTAAGCTCGATAGCCATAAACAATTTCTAAGTACCATAGCATCTGCAAAGCCTGGTCAAACATTCAAAATTTATTTTGCACCTACCACTGCATAAAACGGTAACATGCTAATAAAATTGACGACTCAATTAGACTAGGTGGTGGAGCTGAGCTGACGTCGACTGTTCTACTTACATCATCGACATCTGTTCAAGTGTGCTTCAGACCAGACTAGCATTGTCTAAATTAGCGAAGTTTGATCATCATCCTATTAATCAGTGCCGTCTTTGACCTATTGGAGATCCGGGCATATTCAGATAATGGGGCCCCTATGAGGCCCATTTGGTGATCTAACAGGAACTAGGGACTTTGTATTTATGTGAGGTGGGCCCCTATCGTTCGCTGGGCTCTGGGCACCTGCCCAAAGAGCCCACTGGGAAATAGGGGTCTGCTATTAATGTCCCCAATGCAAGGCCACAGGTCTTCCCTATGGATGTAATAGTGAGATTGGGCTATGACTCACCACGCGGGCCCATTGGTGGGTGCTAACGACTACAGATGCTGCCGTGGCCAATGGCTTAATGTGCACAATTTTTTTGGTCATCCATCTAATTACCAACCACTGCGAAAGTTGCTTAACTTGGCAGCCTTCGCAACAGTAGAAATAGCAATCGCAATCGAACGCGCTATGCACCTGCGCCATCGAACTCCTCAAAAAAGATTGCTCATTTCATATTGTTTAATTTTTCGTGTTTCATTTTTATTTTTTTTAAATATAAAATTAGGTATTCTTCATGAAACATCAAAAGATCTTAAAAGATATTCCTGATACATCTAATCAAAACTGAAGTTGTATGGAATGAGTGAAAAATACCACTTATTAGATGAACAAACAATATATATGATGCTACATTCAAGTATCTGTTGTAATCCCTGCATTATATTTTATATTGTTTAATGTTACAGATTTGGAGATACCAAGGTGCAAAAGGAAACATCTTTTCATCCATGTATGTAAAGGAAATAGATAAATTGATATGGCAAATTGTATTTGGATGCCACGACAATAGTGTTTACAGTATAAAAATAAAAAACTATCAACCAAGTTTACATTGGAAAACACAACTGACATCACCTGTTTATTCTACACCTTGCAGTATAGGCGACAAATTCATATTGGCAGCATCCAACAATGGAAAGATCTGCATTTTAGATTCTGCAAATGGGATACAATTAGCAGAGTATCAACTACCTAATGAAACCTTTTCTTCCCCAGCTGTGTATGGTGATTATGTATTTATTGGGTGCAGAAATGACCATATATATTCTTTAAAATGTGTTTTGAATTTGTAAAGTTAACATAATTACCAAATAATAGCACCACAGCCAACAAAAACAATATTTCAGATTATAAAACTAATATTGTGATATTTATGAATAGGTTACAAAACATGTTGGAAATAAAAATGTCTTCATATTATATTGTAACTTTATTTATGATCTTACACAAAACATTATACATAGGTATAGTGAGCATTCATAATTTTGATTGACATTACAAACATGATATGGTTATAAGATCAAATAATGTATCAAAATAGAATGCTTTTTTTTAATATGAAATAAAACATTTCAACTGTGCAGACCATTATATATCAGCTTTGTATACTTAAAAATAAAAGCAATCTTAAATGAGGAACAATAATTATGTAAAATAATGTTTAAATTATAATCTTATAGTTTTTGCCACTTTTTGGTAAAAAAAAACTTGCCAGTACCATTACATGGAAACATTTGCACATACATATACAATTATCTACTGCCAATACATCTAAGCTCTTATAAATCTTTACCCAAGAATCCCTAATTAACATTTTATTATTGTTGCCAGAACAGTTTAAAAACAAAATAAAAAAATAACAAGCAATATATAATACATAGAACATACATTTTTACTGTTCTTCTTCTCCCAACTCTACTTTCACTTTGGAGAAATCAAAATCTTCATCAGTACCACGTTTGTAGATCTTAAGCACATCCAAGCATGTGGTCTCAAAGTGAGTGGTAGCATCATAGGACTCAGATATAAAGATTTGACTCTGGCTACCATCATCAGTTGGTTCATAATAATCTGTTACTGATACAAATTTCTGCCTTACAGGCCCCAAAAGATCTAACCCGGGTTTAATCTCAGATTCTGGATCATTTGTCTCAACAGTGGTGGAAACCATAGCAATGAACCATCCTTTAGCTGCAACTTGATGTGTGTATGACACAACAGACACGTAAATGTCGGAATGCCTTCCAACTTGTTTCTGTGGAATAATAATCTGGGTAGAAAGAGCATCTTTAGTATTAGAGATTGGATGGTCTAATAAACAAATGCATCGGATAACCTGCCCCTTCTTGCGAACTCTATCAGGAACATAACTGGGGTCACAGTAGACTTGTTTGCACTTTGCTATTTCATTGCCAGATTTCACTCCAATTACTCTTCCTCCTTCTCCGAGAACAATCTCATCAATAGGCTTGTCCAACATGTAGGTGCCACCATAAATGGCAGAAAGACGAGCAAACCCTTGAGGTAACTCACCTAAGCCATACATCGGGTATAAATATGGAGACTTACCATACCGAGCTAAAGAGTCGGAATACAACTTGATGCGGCGAATAGTTTGTATCGCTGGCTGCTGAAGATAAGTATCGTTAAGGTATAAAGCCAGTGCATGGCCCGTAAAATCTTGGGTGTTCCTATCCAAACCAAACTTATCATAAAGAGATTGCATATTAGCGGTACTAGGATCAAAGTCTTTCCAAGTTTTAGCATCCTCTTCTTGAAAATCTTGGACGTAAATAAGGAAATTGCGGAAACGCCTCTTTTCGAACATACCCATAAGGTCTGACGCTAGTGCCTCTTTCTGGTCTACAGGCACCTTTGAGATTTTTCCGCCTTTGTAGACATAGCTACCCTCCACAGACTTGAATTCTAAATAGCGGGTCACGCCCGTATGGATGAGCAGTTTCACCAATAATCCATTGGCCATCAAAAATTTAGGGATCAAGTCCACGTTCCAGTCGCGGCCTCGGCCGTATGTTTCATCAGGCGGGGGTGCGTTGAACTTTGCGAACAAGTCTTCTAACGGGGTAATTGACGCAGATTCTCCACCGTAGTACTTGTTACGATCAATGTGTAATACCTTTTTTCCCGAAACAGAAAGCATTCCACTGAGAATGCATTCCTTGAGGCCGGTACCCAAGACGATTGCGTCGTATTCTTCATCCATGATGATGCAAAAGCACAAAGAAATGAACTTTTCCAATAAGAGTAGCTAACAACCAACCGGGCAAGAAATGTCAAAATGTCGGAAGAAATATGTCCGCCATCGGTGACGTCGACTACTTTCTGCCAACATGACTAAAAAATACCGTTTGTACAGCCACGTCTCAAATTCATAATTAAACAGAATATATTCATACATAAACAGATAACTGGAAAAAATGCGATATTATCACTATTTTGTTCGCCTAAAAAAAACAAAGAATATAGGTGTCAGCTCAAATAAAAATGTAACTAAATTGATAAATATAAAAAAAAATGGTTGCCTGTAAAGTCGGTTTTACGGGCGAAGATTTTACGTGACAACGTCTTTTTCTCGGTAGAATATTTATTGATATGAATATAATTAAATTGCACAATAGGAACAAGGAATTGAATGAAAATAAGAATTGCACAAATTTTAACTATACAAATATATTTTGTTTACTAAAACATTGTACATGTAAACTTAAACTTAACACGAGAGACTCATCGTAACGTTACCGAGCGTTACACTTTTTCATAAGTGACTCCCAGCCGCAACCTAATTTAAGACGTTGTCACGTCAAAAAATGCGTATATGAAAAAAAAATATAGCATTATTAGGTTTATTTTGAACGTACCACAACAGGACATTTTGGATAGGGCTGTACCATTTCCGGTCTCCACATGCACTCGACACAAGTCAACTTAGAGCCGATTTTTCAAATCTCGGATAAAACTTAACTGTTCAATAAAATAACACTCAATCACATAGAGAGATTTGTCATCCGTCACATTAACCAATTAAAACAAGTCAACTCTTTATTTTGTCCATATAATACGATATCAGACAGATGAATTTTATCCAGTTTTCGAGAAATCAACGCTTAGGAGATGTAAAATAAAAAAGTACATCATACCATTATTGTATAATAACTCTATAATCTATTTATGTTTTGACGTGACAACGTCTTAAATTAGGTTGCGGCTGGGAGTCACTTATGAAAAAGTGTAACGCTCGGTAACGTTACGATGAGTTTAAGTTTACATGTACAATATTTTAGTAAACAAAATATATTTCTATAGTTAAAATTTGTGCAATTCTTATTTTCATTCAATTCCTTGTTCCTATTGTGCAATTTAATTATATTCATATCAATAAATATTCTACCGAGAAAAAGACGTTGTCACGTAAAATCTTCGCCCGTAAAACCGACTTTACAGGCAACCATTTTAATCCTTTTATAAACAAAACATCTTTAAATATGTCATGTCATCTTTTTGACTATACTTTTCACTGGTTGTCACTGAAATAAACATCATGTTTACAATTTAACGTGTTTAATATTATATCATTTGTATGGCGACGAGGATGTCGGCGGCAAAATTTTGTTTCGATAATTTAAATCCGAATACAGAAGAATGGAACTATTAAATTCAACGTTTCAACATTGAACTTTCGTAACATGGCCTACTGTCAAATGAAAATGAACGTAAGAACATTTTACTTTCAAGAATTGGTCCAACTGCTTTTAAAGTACTTGTCGATTATTTTCGACCGATTGATGTCACTACAAAAAGTTTTAGTCAAACAAACAATGACACAATATATTTTAAATAATTAGTACATAAGGCCGTATACAGAAAGAAAGCCGAAAGCCGATCGGCGCTTATCGGCACCGATCCTTCCTACATAAAGGAAGCCGATTAAAGCAGATTAAGCAAAATGTCGGACTCATCGGACGATGATTTGGTTTTGTTAGAAAATATTTATTTAAAAATGCGAAAAACAGCTATACATCCTATAAATAGAGAAAGGAAACGTTTCGGAGAATACCATCATTTATTTGTAAAAAAAAAAAAATTTGATGAAAAAAGATTTTATACATATACAAGAATGATTCAAGAAACATTTTATTACATTTTGGATTTAGTGAAAAACCGTTTGATGAAAAATTGGGGCAATTGGCATAAACAACCAATCCTTCCAGAAGAAAGACTTGTTGTCACCATTCGGTAAGTACGAAACAAATAATTTATTTATTTATTTATTTATTCTTTATTACCAAAAACAGTAAATGGCGGACTTAATGCCATAGGCATTCTCTACCAGTCAACCAGTATGGGTGTATGAGACGGATGTTTTGGCGATAGAGTGCGAGCTACTAAAGTTAGAGAAAAATAATAATAATAATAATATCCTACAGAACTATACTATACTATAAACGATAAATATATATTATATCTAATAATAAAATATCCCTATATATATAAATACAAATACACATATATATAAATTAATAAACATACATATATAAATATATACATACACTTAATTAGTTAGAAATAACTATATCAGATGGTATAGATGACTGCAGACCAGAGAAATATTAGACGGTCAGATAGTGTGCATGCACTAGTTTTTTGAACTCCAACTTACTACGAGCACTGCGAATATTCAATGGCAAAGCATTCCAAAGACGTATAGCTGTAATAGTGAAAGATTTGGAAACGAAACCAGAATGGTGAAAATGAGTTTTAAGGGTAAGGTGCCTGCAAGAGCGAAGATCACGTGGTTTGGAGGGACCCAGAAACTGAAACCTAGATTTCAAGTATTCTGGGGCACGTGGATCGTATAAAATAGTGAAAATCATGCATACAATCCGGAGATTTCTACGGTCACGTATGGACAGCCACTTGAGTTGATTTCTATAGTGCGAGATATGATCGTACTTACGCAAACCGAAGATGAAGCGAATACCGCTATTGAGCAAACGATCCAATTTAGAAAGAAGGTTTTGATTGGTGTCAGAATAGCAGACGTCAGCATAGTCAAGGATAGGAAGAATAAGAGCTTGTACGAGCGCAACCTTAGTACTGGAAGGGAGAAAGAATTTCAATCTGTACAGAGCCCTAAGCGTGTTAATAACTTTACGGCAAACTTCATCAACTTGGTTTTCCCAGCTAAGGGAACAGTCTATGAGTAGACCCAGATCTTTGACGCTAGGTTGAAATCTAATTGCTGTACCGTTATAAAGTAACGGTTTTAGTGAAGCTAAATCCAGGAGGGCCAACTGTCGGGAGCTACCTATTACAATTGCTTGGCATTTTGTTGGATTTACGGAGATACCGTAACAGTTGGACCATTCCGAAATCCGCTGCAGATCATCATTTAGGCGCGTCAGGGCTTCATCTAAACCATTTTTGTCGGCATGCACATAAAGTTGGAGATCGTCCGCATATAGATGGTAAGAGGAATGAATCATAGTAGTAAGACAGTTGATAAACAACGAAAAAAGAAGAGGAGAAAGAATGCCGCCCTGTGGAACACCAGCAATGAGTTCGCACCAGTCCGAGATGGTCTGGTTTACCCGAACAGCCTGCTGACGTCCACGAAGATATGATGAAAACCAGGTCCCTACTGAAGAAGAAACTCCCAGATGTGAAAGGATTGCAAGGAGAATATCATAGTTAACCATGTTAAATGCGTTTGAGAAGTCAATTAGGACCATAACAGTTAACTGCGATTTCTCCATACCATAGTGAATGTCATCCAGGACAGTAATAAGGGCAGTGGTTGTACTATGACCAGGGCGAAACCCAGATTGTAATGGGCTAAGAATTTTGTGGCGAAAGATGAAAGAGGAGAGTTGATTGTGAACAGCAGCTTCTAAAACTTTTGAAAGAAAAGGAAGAATAGATATGGGCCTATAGTGGCTCAGAGAGGAGGGACAATTAATTTTAGGGAGAGGCGTAGTTAGTGCTTTTCGCCAGATAGAGGGAAAGGTACCAGAAGAAAGGGAAAAATTAAGAATTAAGGTGAGACTCGGAAGTATACATTCTAGTATAGGGATAATCATAGTTCTGCCAATATCGTCACAACCCACTGCCTTGGATTTTATGGAAAGAACAATCTTACGGACATCTTCTTCAGTCAAAGGACGAAAACAAAATATATCACTCGTTGAGGGAGCCATGGATGTGATAGAAGAAACAGTAGAGAGCATAACAGAAGTAGGGAGAGAATTAACTGATGAAAAATGCTTGTTAAGCTCATCCAGTGAAAATGAAGGGATATGCTTGGTGGTAGTTTTACCAAAACCGAGAGATTTGAGAAACTTCCATGTATCGGCTAGATTTGAATTTAATATATTTTGATGAATGTATTGGCGTTAAGCGGCTCTTACCATCTGATTGCAGCGATTTCTAGCCGTTTTAAAGGCACACCAGTTATCATCAGTGCGGCAACGTTTGTACACACGGAAGCATTTGTTTCGCTTCCTCATTGCCATGCGAACACCCGCAGTAATCCATGGCGCTGGTGACCGTCTTAATTTAACGATGTTTTTTGGGGCATGTCGATCATAAAGATCTAAAATTACTCTGTTAAAGTAGGAGATCATATTGTCGACGGAACTTGCTTCACGAAGGGGTTTCCAGTTAATACTACAAGCATCGCTTCTCAATTTCTCCACATCCAGTCTAGCAAAATTTCGCATTCGTACAAGAAGTGGCTTTGGCTTTGGTGGTTTAGCTTTATAAGCAAGAAAAACAAGGTCGTGCCTGGAGAAGCCAGGTGCAGGAAGTTGTCCGTGCTTAAGGACACGTTCAGGGGAAGATATTAGTATATGATCAATCCATGAGTCCGATGTGGTGAGATTGTGATGAGTAGGATCAAGATGTAAAATAGAAAAGTTGACCGACTCAATGAGGGACCGAAACTTGCGAGAGTGGGCGGTGTCTTTCAAGAGGTCAGTGTTGAAATCACCCATGATAATATGATGAGAGTAGTCTGTTGCAACAGAATTAAGAAGTGAATCAAGGTCAGTAAGAAAATTTATAGAAGGGGGACAGTAGACAACTCCCAGGGCTATTTTGACACCTTTGATAGTAACTTCAAGGAAAAGATATTCCATGGAGTCGAGGCAACAGAAGGATGAAGATATAAGTTTGAAAGGTAAGACATTTGACAAATATATGGCAACCCCACCGCCACCTTTGCCAATACGATCATTTCGAATAAGATTATACCCTGGGAGGTCGTATGAAATAGAATTTAGTCACGGCTTAAGCCAACTTTCCGACACCAGGACGGCATGAGCCGTATCAGAAGAGAATAATAATTATATATACGATTTATTATGTAGGATTTAAAACCAGCGCCATAAGTCACCACGTATTTCCATTAAATGAAAACTTTTCCAAAAGTATCTTGTGATCGACCCTATCAAAAGCTTTTCGGATATCAGTGTAAACACTATCTACCTGCTTATTACCATCTGAACTATCAAATAAATATGATACATATTGCAAAAGATGTGTTACTGTAGATCGTTTTTTAACAAAGTCGTGTTGATTATCTATTATATTATCATGTAAAGAGGGATAAATGGCATTATGGACTAATCTCTCAAAAATCTTTGATATCACTGGGAGTACAGAGATAGGACGGTAACATTCAACATCAGAATTATCACCACCTTTAAAAACAGGAATGATACGAGTGGTTTTAAATATCAGCGGTACGACACCATCCTTTAGGATCTTATTAAAAAGTAACATTAATGGCCTATGAGAAAAGGACCAGGAGTTGACAATATACCACCAGCCTTCCTTAAATTGACTGCCTCTACTGTACAGAGGCAATTTGTTGCCAGGAGTTGATAATGTACTGGTGGTATATTGTCAACTCCTGGTCCTTTTGTCGTATTTAATTCTTTCAATATTTTACTAACAGAATCTTCCGAGAATTGCAGAGTACTCAATATAATATCAGATTTATGGTTGCACTCAGGGATGTTATCAATATCAAAGTTATCTGGTACATTGGAAGCATCAAATACCGACTTAAAAAAGGTGAAGAAAAGTCGACATACCTCCTTTGTCTCGTTAGCGATAACGCCGCTGTATGCTATAATTGTGGGGATCTCTGACTTTCCTTTATTGTTGTTAAGAAAATTCCAAAAATATTTTGTGTTTTTACTGATGTTGGTATCGATTCTGGCGTGATTCTCTAAACTTAAAACTAAATTTAACATCAGTCTCTCCTTTTCATTTTGTATAGAGAATGACAAGGATATACTGCTGTCAAATTTAAGTTTAGGTTTAGAGAATCATGCTAGAATCGACACCACTATCCTCAACTAATGTTAAATACTTCTTATAGCACTTCTGAGATGCATGTTTAAAGCGTTTTCTGAATAAGGAAAAGTTTTCGTAATATGAGATGTTTCCATATTATTTCCATTTTAACCAGTAGTTTTTTTTATTTTTGTATTTATGTATCATATAACCTAACGTGTTCATTAGTTAAAATAATAGTTCATTATATAACCTAACGTGAAAACAAAATTTTAGAGATATATAGATATAGATATATATATATTGTAACTGTTCAAATGTAAATCAAAAATTGCAATACAAAAACAAACTAGTATCAAGAAATTAATTAGAACTCACTCGTTGAGGTTAGGATTTCTTCATAACATTGCTCTTTTTTCATAAAAATCGACTTCATTTGTTCGTTTGCAGATTTATTATGACTTATTAGTTTATAAATAACTTCTCCGACTCCAAATTTCTGTCTTCCTTTCACTCCATAAACAAAAACTTCAAAAAATGTTTTTCAGACGAAAGATGCTTGCTTGATAAATCTAAGCTAAGGTGAAAGTAAATACGGTAGCCTTTTTTATGTAAAAACTTGTTTTAATTCAATAAATAAAAATGTAAATAACTATTTGTTTTATTAAAGTATAATGGCACCTTTTTCTGTAAAACGTGATAAACACTAGAAAATACTTTGTTTACTTCAAGCACATATATAGTTTTCAAGACACATAAAAAGCTGAAAATACCATTAAAAAAACACAACTGCCGATTAAAAAATGTCCTATTTGAAAAGTAATACTTGTTTTTTACTGTTTAATTAATTTTTTAACACACTATGAAAGGCGCCATTTTTCTCAGTAAATTTAGGTATACACATTTTTTCTTAGGTATGCCATCTCCATAGGTTTCAGAACACAGAGGTTTAATCAGTAATATCCCAATTTTAGTCAAACTATTGAGACTCTATAGATGCGCATTATTTGCAGCGAAATGACACCAAAAAAACACTTTTTCTGCTGAGTCGTATATTAATAGCAAGCTGTCGAGACGCTGCATTATGTCCATGTACCACGAGCACCACGCACTTTTATTCTTTGAGGTCCATTAGCGATGCGCGTTTTCGAATAATACTAATCATTCGTCTCTACGAATCATTCGACTGAGTCGACTGCGCTTTATATCGGGGTAGGTATCGGGCGGCTCGCGTCGCACGCAGTGACTCTCAGAATACATTACTAGCGACTAAATCGACTGACGTACGTGGCGAAGACGAACGAACCGGGTCGACTCGGGCTTGGTCAATTTACCAGATAAATAGGTGTTCTGTCACAATCCAATCAAGCTATAATAAACAAATTCTGTTCAAAATTAAGTTCTCACTGCAAAAATAATAATTAATAACAGATAGAAATCTATCCTGGCAGGCGCCACGTACGAACGCACGGAAACTAACTGAACTAAGGGAAATGATGACCGAACGAACGAATAACCTAACCTTATTCGTTGCGCTGTTGCAAATTTGACATTACTATTACTAATTAGTAGTCGTTATTCGAATAATGACATTAATTTACTACTAATTTGCCTTTCGAATAGCCAAATTAGTAGATCCGACTTAGTCGAAAAGTAAAATGATTCGTAGTCGCGTATTGCTAGTCTAGATACATCACAACACTTGTCAATCTACATCCGTCAAGACTACCAACCCATACGACATTTCATGTTGTCATGTCTGTCAAGTGTCAGCGCAGTGTCAGATCCGATCAGCTCTCATCACTTTCATGTTTTTGAGTTTGACAGTTCAGTTTCGTTCTCTGTCGTGCACGTAGACTATCGCCTGCACGCTATTCTATCAATTAAATATTTTTTTAATACTCAGTAACTAGAATGTGTCATCAGTTCTGTATTTACAAGTTAACTAACCTACTTCATTTGTGTTGTGAACATTAAATACGATGATTTGTGATGTGTGAATTAGTGAACAGGTGACTTCAACGTTTAGGCCATATGTTTCAATGTTAGATTACACTATGTTGCTCCTAACAAAATAAACACTGTAGCGTTATAATCTATTAGGTTTTAAATGAAAGGAAAAAGTAAGAGGAACCTTATTCAGATGAATAAAAATGTCAACAGAGGGAAGCGGCGAGAATTCCTCGACTGTACCAAGTTTGCCTGGAGCTCCAGAGCAAACTTATCTTTTTCCCAAAGCGAAAGGACACTCGAGATCTATAAGTCATGGAGGGACTCCGATGCTCGCAGGAAACCCAGCGGCGGCCCGGCCTCTCAAATCTGCCCTTCGCGGCCATCAAAGGGCTTTGTCACATGGACAAATCGGTGAAGGTCCTCGCGCAGCATCTGGGCCTGGACACAGCCGTACTGGAAGTCGTACAGACTTTATTTTACCCCCGGGACACCGTGAGCCAGCTCCTGTCAGTGCACAGCCCAGACTGGGCTCTGTGCGTGGTCAGCATTCGCGTCAAGCTTCGCGATCAGACTCAATCTATACCATTCGTCGAAACTCGGTCGTGGCACCATGGCGACGTGCTGTGTTTTGGCTTATGCGCCGTCAACAACCTGCTATAGACAATCGTCATTTTGTAGTTGTACCTAACCATTTAGTGCCTGAAAAAACACCTCCAAAAGATCATCCCAATGGGCAAAGATGTGATAATAAAATCAGGACTACAAAGTACACCCTATTATCATTTTTACCAAAGAACTTGTTTGAGCAATTCCACAGGATTGCAAATGTATATTTTATATTTATAGTGTTGTTGAACTGGGTACCTGCTATTAATGCATTTGGAAAGGAGGTGGCTATGTTGCCTGTTGTGTTTGTGCTCGGCATAACAGCAATCAAAGATTTATTTGAAGATCGGAGAAGACACCTGTCTGACAAGAGGATAAATAACTCATTTTGTAGAGTTTATAAAAAGTAAGTAATATTTGTTTATTTATTATCTTCCCTCTTGTCATATACTGCTATTAGGATTTTATTTGCTGTATCAGTTTTATTTTGTTATTTAAAGCAGCTATTTCTTTTTGATAAATTACAATCAAGCTTCTACTGCTGTGATATTTGATGCACTGCAGAGAGGGATACATTCTGCCATCAGAGCACTTTTTATCTCTAGTCAAATGAATCTGTGTTGCATTATTTGCATATTACTATAGTGAAAGTTTGATTATTTGTTACTCAATGACACAAAAACAGCTGAATGGATTTTGATGAAATGGCACACATTGTTTATTACATGCATTGAGACAATGGATATTTATGTCTTAAAAAAAAACCTGTGGATTCTCTAAAAACTGACTTTAACGCGGACAAAGTTTTCCGTAGTCCATAATAAAAAAAAACATGTGTGAATCGGAACTCACTCACCAAGGGTTCAGTACTATTATCTTTAGAACATTAGACACATTAATTTAATTTCAAGCAAAAAACAGCAAAACAAAGTACCTTTTAAATATATTTTGAGTGGTAGATCGCAACTAACTGCAAAATGAAAAATCATTTGTTGGTCTTCGTCACAACTTACATAGTTCATTGTGAGTCAGATTTTCCAGTATTTGATGTTTAAATATAGGCTAATGGAAATTACATACCAGAATTTCAAACTAGTTTCGATTTTGAGATATGGTCTATCTCAAAATATAAACTAGCGAGAAAGCTGATTCATAATTATTATTTATTTTAAACTTTATTGACCAAAATATATAACAATGGTACAAAAGGCGACCTTAATACTAAAAGCATTCTCTCCCAGTCAATCTTTGGGAAAAATGAAAAACACAAACGGCGCTATAAAGCTGATTACGAATATATGTATGAAATAACATAGATACGTATATAAATACATACCATAAAAATAATATTATAATATTCTATGTAATTGTGTAATGTAATTTATTTTTTCCTTAGCAAAAATGAACTGAAAATGACAACTTTGATGAACATCCATTTCTGTGTTATTGAAATAAATTATAATAAAAATTATATTTATCTCTTACTCAACAATGTGTCACATGCTGGGGTAAAAAAGAAAAAAAAGTCTCCTTTTCATGTATGAGGCCCTGCATGAAAATTAATTTTATTAAATTTTTAACTAAATACTGTTCGAGCATTCTACATAAATGACCAAAATTCTGTAACTTATTCTGTTTACTTCCTATATACTAAAAATGTAAAGCAGACTATCGAACTTATTGTGACTATATATCTATATTCTAAATTATGTAATGGAAAGTGATTTCAGAGGAATTTCTTTAGCCATTTTTTCAACTTGACGACTCTGTATACAATAATACAGCTTGCTGAGATTCTTGCTGGTTCTTTTCAGTACAAGGTCTCCCGCTATAGTTTTGCGAACCGATGGTGTAGCTTCTTGACCTTCACAAGTGCTTGTAACAGCCTAGACTGACTAAATGATATTTTGATTAGAAGTTCAACCTACAATTAATTATATTGAGAATAGCTTCTTGTGTTCTCCTAAAACAATGCCTTATTTTCTTACATTTCTCCTCATGCTCTGCAGGTTGAATGTTTAACTTAATTCTTTCCATCATCCCCTTCCAAAGCCAAAAAAAGTATCAATGTGACATGACTAATCTGTTTCCCAACCATGACATTAAATGTATTACATAAGGAGCAAAGTTTACATTAGGCCTATATTAAAGGATTTGTTAATTTATTTACAGAGTGTAAATAAATTAACAAATCCTTTAATTTTATTTAAAATATCTTAATGATTTTTATTCATATTTAATTAAAGTATTTGATAATCAAATCTCTGTGTGAGTTCTACAACAAATTTCTTATACTTTGTTGCATTGTGTTATTTATTGTTTTCTCTAACCCCAAGGTTAACTATACATTTTATTACATTACCTAATGGCTTTAAAATTATAGTTCAAAAGTGCAATGTCATGTTCAGAGTCACCAAGCGACACTCTATGCTGACAGGACCAGTGGAGCTTACATATATCTCTTTGTTTACATTGCTTTCTTCAAGTGGACGATAAAATCTGAATGAAAACTGCGAAGGCGAGAATCGCAATCATGAGGCTAAGAAAGAACAAAAAACGCTATTGAAAACGTACGTAAACCGCCCCATCCGAAAAAGCTCTAATATTAAACGTTTTATAAATTTGCGAACAAAGATCTGCAGGGCTAAAAAGGAAAGGAGGACGGGTAGGAGAGAACGGCGGCGCGCCCGTCCCAGGTCCCTCGCTGACCAGCATGGCGTCAGCTGTATCGGCCACCGACGGACCCCGTGACGGCAGTCCCCCCTTGTAGTTCTGTCCCGCAAAGAGGGGGGCGGCGAAGGGAGCTACACGGGCACGCCCAAGTAGCCCTCCGCAGCGGACGGCGGGCGGTACGGTGGGCACTAGGCCGCGTACTCCCAGCCCCCACGCGCGGGCCTTCCTGCGCACGTCTGCGGGGTCCCCGCGATACCCCGGGAGACCCGGCTAGGCCAGGAGGCTGCTGGGTGCGGGGACGCGGAGAATCCTTAAACGGGGATCTTGCGGCTTCGCATCAGGCAGCTTAGAGGGTATTTTAGCGGATATAATGCCGTAAAGCGCCCGTAAGAGTTGCGGGGTCCTCAGTGGGCAGCCACTGCGGGGGCTCGTTAGCGTTAGGCTTGCGGGAGCCAGGTGTTAGGTCCGTTCGGCGGTGTGCCTCTTAAAGGCGCCGTCGTCTGTAAACAGAGGTTTTGCCTGCGTCACAAAAAAAGAGCTTAAAGGAAGCTAAAATATTTTTGTCGCGATATAGCTTATTGAAGTTATACTTCTTTAGGCGCGTTATGAAAAAATAATGGGAGTGAATTTTAAGATGCGCGCGCATCACTGTAACACAAAATTTTAACATAATGAAGTTGGTCGCTTTAGCTTTAGCGACCAACTTCATGCGTTACTTTTGTGTTTACCGCACATTAAGAAAATCTACCAACAAAATAGAAATAGAATCTCTATTTAGTGGGTGCTAACGACTGCATTGTGAAGGCCTATCAAAAGTATTTATTAATCTGGAACAACGGAACCAAAGCGCGATTCAGGAGACTACAGTGCCATCTCTTGACCATTGGTGTAGTAGAACCAAAAACCACATCTTTATTTTTTGTAATAAAGTAACAGTTATAGGTATTCATATTTATAATATTTATCCACATGTTTCTAGTTTGTATATTCGGAATACGTGTTTGAGTTTCATACAAGTGCAAATCACATATGTTCTAATAAATTATATTCAGTAGCGATTTTAATTGAATAGTTTGATTATTTATTTATTTTTTCAAATTAAAACTGAACTTTATTGACTGTGTCCTTTTCCAGACTTTTTATTAATTTATTGTAATTAATTATTTGCATGTAATTAAAAACTAATTTTAAACGATGCCAAAGAAGGATAACTTCTCACGCGCCTACATAAGTACACGCACCCATTTTTATTTATCGGTATCTAATGATGATCGCATTGTCTGTACCGCAACGATCAAACTGTAGTTTTCATCACAATTCACGTTGATTTTTACAGCTTCTTAGCAACTTAATTAAAATTTTATTGAACGTAAGTAGCAAATGCTCGTGTCTTCGATTATATTTTATCTCTTTAGTACCTAATGGTATACAAATGTACTTGTTAAATTATTATGCTAAGATATCATTGTCCTTGCTTCCCAAGAAAAAGAAGAAACAAAATATTACAATTGTAGCATAAATGTTTGTCGTTTCGTCAAATGTTCACTACACAGTACTTGAACCTCATAAAAAATTTGTAAGCGAGTGCCAGACTCTATTTACAGTCTAAATAGAATAAAAACAACTGTAGTATTCCGTTGGCACACCCAGTAAATAACGTCGTCGGGTGAAGTACTAAGTTGCACGCATACAGACTAAATTTTTCAGGACGTAGCAGTTGTAGCAGTAAACAGCTGTCGAAACAAGTTTCGGCTACATACAAGCTTCCAGCCACTTGAGAGTTTCCATCATAATAATTCATGTAGGGCGGCACGCGAGCACTGCCTGCCTTATCAAATGCCTTTTGGGAGCTATCGCCATAATTCCTATTACAGTGTTTGTGTTATACATTATTTAAGGCGTGGTTATTACTGATTGAACGTATCGAAGTTGTTCATGATTGGATTTCCAAGTAGCAATAGCTACAGAACTATCGATTCTTACCCTATACACGTTTGAAAGAAAGCCTTTGTAAAGTAAATATGAGGCGCGGAAGCCGGAAAGAAATATTTCAATCGGTGCAGGTGCAGATTGATTGAAGTTCCTCGAATAAAGTACTCAAGGTCGAACAGGTTTGTCCTTGAACTATACGTGTGTCGATGCCGTCTTATTGGCAACATTTTACGTTATGCTTAAGTAAGTATGGGTATTTATAGTGTAATGCTACAGCTGCATCTGCGTTTATTACCACGAAGTAATGCATGCCGAAGCTTCGTACGTTTTGATACAAAACAGTAATCGCGGTAAAGCCTGTGGTCACATTACCAGCTCTGTATTTTGCGCGAACTATCGTGCAATAAACCAAGATGGCCGTCTTCTATATGGGTGCTAACATAATGCATTTTTAAAATGTAAAATATTAAATATTCATTATGGATAAATACCCGCACTATGTCATCGCTCCACTCCATTTTATTATTAAGATATCATACAGATACTTAGTCACACGCATGCGTTTGAACCAAACTCGGCGTAAAAAATCGCACCTCCGCGAAAATAAATTTCAAGCGTTATTATAACCCCCTAACACACGCATTTACCCCCACCAATATTGGTGTTATTTGAAAGCCCATTTAATAAACTTAAAAAATCAATTCAATGTATTTAATAAAACAATAAAAATCTTTAATGAAGCCTTAATTAAAAACAGATTCATTATACAAAAAGGTTTCTAAAACTAATCTTAAAGCTTCC